GGTGCAGGGGGGGCTCACCCCGGCTCACGCCTGCCCCTCCCCACCCCGGTGCCCTCCCCAGGTTATGAGCCCTTGGCTCCGCTCCCACCAGCCGCCTCGGCCGTGCCCGTCTGGCAGGACCGCACCATCGCCTCCGCCAAACTCCGGCTCCTCGAGTACTCCGCCTTCATGGAAGTGCCGCGGGATGCCGAAACGGTAACGGTCCCCCTCCGTGTCCCCACCACCCGGGTGGGAATGGTGCCCATCCCTGTGCTTGGTGGCATCTTGCTTTCATCTGAACTCTCGTTTTAATTTCCCCGCCCCGGTCCTTACAGTACAGCAAACACCTCTTCGTGCACATCGGCCAGACGAACCCCTCGTACAGCGATCCGCTGCTGGAGGCCGTGGACATCCGCCAGATCTATGACAAGTTCCCCGAGAAGAAAGGTGGCCTCAAGGAGCTCTATGAGCGTGGGCCCCAGAACTCCTTCTTCCTCGTCAAATTTTGGGTACGATGCTGGGAGGGGGAAGGATGGGGAGGGTTGTCCTTGAGCCATGGGCTCGTTGCAGGTTGGGCACCCCGCCGGTGGTGCGGGAGCATCCTGAGCAGCTCCATAAGCTGGTGTCCCTTGTCCCCACTGAGAGCTGGGTGTGATGGCACCTAACGGGACCCTCTCCCCGCTCTCATCTCTCCAGGCGGATCTGAACAGCACGATCCAGGACGGGCCGGGGACTTTCTATGGTGTCAGCAGCCAGTACAGCAGTGCAGAGAACATGACCATCACGGTCTCCACCAAGGTGTGCTCCTTTGGGAAGCAGGTCGTGGAGAAGGTGGAGGTGAGTCCCGTGCCCTGGGAAGGGGTGGGAATCGGGAATCGGGTCCACCGCAGGTCCCAGGATGGAGGAAGTCCCATAGCTGGGTCTAGGACACGTGCTGTCCATGGGTAGAGCGGAGAGGACATCTCCACCATGTCCCAGTTGGCCACCACCCGCCCGTGCCCACCTCCCCTGCGGTGTTTCGGCTCCCGTGGGGTGGCTGCTCACTCTGCTGTCCCCCGCAGACGGAGTACGCGCGGCTGGTGAACTTACCGCATCCACCGGTCTCCCATGTGCGAGTACATGATCAACTTCATCCACAAACTCAAGCACCTCCCGGAGAAGTACATGATGAACAGCGTCCTGGAGAATTTCACCATCCTGCAGGTACCTCCCCTCCTTTTCCAGGGAGCGTTTCCCACCAGGAATGTGGAGCCCGCACTTGCATCAACCCTACCGTCCCCACTATGTGCTGCGGGGCACCCCGCCTCGCCATTGCAAATACAGGGGCTGCGCCTGCGCCCATGCAACCCCCAAAAAATGGGTAGCAGATTTTCGGTGGTGCAATTAAAGTCCCTGTGCCTGAGCCTGTGCAACCCCCCAAATAACAGGTAGCAAATTTTTCATGGTGCAATTAAAGTGGCTGTGCCCGAGCCCATGCAACCCCCCCCAATAACAGGTAGCAAATTTTTGTTGATGCAATTAAAATCCCTGTGCCTGAGCCTGTGCAACCCCCCAAATAACAGGTAGCAAATTTTTCATGGTGCAATTAAAGTGGCTGTGCCTGTGCCCATGCAACCCCCTCAAAAACTGGGTAGCAAATTTTTGGTGGTGCAATTAAAGTGCCTGTGCCTGAGCCCGTGCAACCCTCTGAATTACAGGGAGCAAATCTTGATGGTGCAAATCAAGTGGCTGTGCCTGAGCCCATGCAACCCCCCCCTCTCCAAAAATCGGGTAGCGAATTTTTCATGGTGCACTGAAAAGGTCTGCAAATTTAAATGCCTGTGCCTGAGCCCGTGCAATCCCTCAAATAACAGCATCTCCCCGTGGGCACAGCCCCCTCCTGACGCGCTCTCTGCTCTGCCGCAGGTTGTTACCAACAGGGATACCCAGGAAACCTTGCTCTGCA